TATTTATGGATAAATTATTTAAATTGAAAGACATCCAGAGTTATAATGATACAAATGGAGTACAGTGGATGGAATTTTGCATGCGAATGGCAGTTATTAATATCTCAAGCTTATACAACTATGGCAATACCGAGAATTCGTCTCTCAGGTCAACCACAACAACTGATATGGATTTTAATCAAATTTTGGATTTAGATCCAACATTTGCTGAAGAATCTAGGCTCACTTTTGCTGTCATGTATCAATTCATATCTAAATATCTTGATTCTATCTCGTTTAAGGGTGAAGCTGATGTTTCTGAGGGCTTGCTTCTATATTGTGAGATTGTGTTACTTTGGATGGTAGCTAATGATGTTTTTAATAATTTTGTTGATAAATCTAAAAATTGTATTTGGAGAAAATTTTTGGACAAATCTATTTGTCCTGATTTTTGGGAAACCTTGGTTCGATTCCTTACAAAAATTGCCCATCAAGTATCTCCATTTACCATAAAAGAAATTATAGAATTTTCATCAAACATTGAAGATTCAAATTCTGTAGATCGTCTTCGTCCTCCTCCATTGACTGAAGACTGGGAATTACGTGGTATTTCTTGGCTTCAGTCACTTTATGAGCCTTATATGTTTGAACATGTACCTAAACCATATATAAAATTTGTGGATGATGACATTGAGGTTATCATAAATAATATTAATGATAATTTGGACCTGATTTCTGATCAAGATTCTAAAAGTCGTCGTAGAGCAAGGATTATGGAATTGGGTTATCTGTTAACTAAGGTAATTTAATTCGTATCACTTATTCATTTTTTTTTTTTTTATCAATCATAAAAGTAATATTTACTATTGAATACATATGGTCTTACAGAAAATCATTGGTTTGGATTTTAATATTGAAGATTTCACTTTTACGTCTTCTTTAAAATTAGTTGATGAAATTTCTGACAAGGAAAATGAAAATCCTTTAAATTTATATACTGATGATGATGAAACTAGTCATGTTACAACGAAATCTACAGATTTTGCCGATAATGAACACATTAGTGATCACATTGAATCAGATGATGAAGGGATTATGGAATTGAAAGTATGTCTTTATTTATATAAATATTTATTTAAATATTTATACTATATACACGATATTACGTTACCTATTTCTATTTAGTCTCGCAAACAAGAATTAGAAAATCTTTTAGCCACAACTCGTGAGAGTTTCCGAGGTTCCTCAGCACAAAAATTTTCGTCAAAGAATTCCAAAAAGAATACTTCTCATACAACGAAAAAGGTTACACCTTCGCCTTCTAGAGTTGCTGCAGGATATAGTACAATTGTAATCGATACCAATTGCCTTATCGGGGATCTCAACATGGTCAAAAAAATCATCCAATTCCGTGATAACTATGAGGATAGGAAAAAAATAAATAGATAAATAAATAAATAAAATGAAACGCAAACGTTATATTATATTAACTAGTGTTCGAATCCTCTATGTGGATCCGAATTCGATTCACATGCGAATTCAGATCAGGTCCGAATCTTCTACAGAACACCAATATTTACTTACCAACCAAAGGTACAACCACCACCCAATTATCACTTTGGATGATTTTTTTGACCATGTTGAGATCCC